AATACACTCTCAGGGTCACCTAGCGTCATACGATTTTGACTGACAAGTGATGCACAAGGATTTCGTGCATGTGCCGAGAACGAATGCATTGCGCAATAGTTGTAAATAGGTTGAGTGTGAACGAAAGTTGTGGAAATTAAATAGCATCATAGACTGATTAAATGTGACTTTGGCGATGTAAATTAAACGGAAAATGAGAATAAATACACTTTTTTTTACAGATTAAGAAACAAGGGGTTGCATATCTCTCTCTCTCTCTCTCTCTCTCTCTCATTCACAACATTGTACATGTATTTACACACTTATTTACTTATTAAAATAAAGAAAAACTTATTAAAATGATTACTTAGACTGAGAGGATTTTTGAAAACATAATGCTAGTTTCTGAAAAGAAATGTTTTCTGTTACGAGAAAAACGCCCGGAAGTCATGTTATTGATTCGGAGTTTCTGCTGCCGATTTTCGTATCTAAATTCAGAATAATCAAAGATTTTCAGAATAATTAAAGATTTACATAAGAAAAAAGAAAAAAAACCCAGACAAACAAGTCTTCTATGCCCTGTAAATTATTTTCATTTTCTTTTTCTTTAATTTTTTTTTATTAATTACATGTAATTTGTTTTTTTTTGTCTACTGATATTTCTCTTCTAAGGCAGACGTTTAAACGACAGATCTACAATTTTAAAAATAAGAAACAATGTACATTTCTTATTAGTTATTACTAAGAATAAAAATATAAGCGCGAATAGTCATATTTTTTCTATAGATCAATCAATTAAAAATAATTTATATACGTGTGTAGTATTATATAAAGAACAAGTATACATTCAGTTCTGTTAAAGCTTTATTTTAAAATGAAAAGAAAATATTATATACATGTATATATTTTTTCTATTTAAAACGCAGCCTCGGCATACGTAAAAAAATACGCACGGAAATATTTACCTTCTATATATCAATATATTTACAAATGCGAAAAAGATCAGTGGGACGATGTTTATTTCCTTTCATTTTTTTTCTTATTTCCTCCATCACTGCTGCAGTGTAAATTAATATTTAAAATTGAAACCGAGACATAGCATACAAGACTATGATCGACACAATAACATACATGTAATAAAACATTTAAACTTCTCTAATAAATAGAAACTTATTGATACTTCAATTGATATGAATAATAAATAAATTACATTCTTTAATAGCGGAAATAAAATTGTAAAATTAGCAGCCAATCAAGGACAAAGCTAACAGGCTCCGCCCACTTCATTTGCATACCGTTTCCCAAAGCGTACCGTTCCGTGCAAGAAGCGAACCGTACCGTCCACAAAGCGTACCGTTCCGTGCATAAAGCGAACCGTACCGTCCACAAAGCGTACCGTTCCGTGCACAAAGCGAACCGTTCCGTGCACAAAGCGTAGCGTACCGTGCACAAAGCGAACCGTTCCGTTCACAAAGCGTACCGAACCGTACCGTGCAAGTGGTGTAGTAGCACGGTCTAGGGTCTGTAGATATATTTAAAAAAAAAAACCTTAAAAATCTTCTTCTAGGGAAGAGAAAATCATCCGACTGAGAGCATTACCATAGCATGACGGAGATTACTTTTATAAGCATTCCCTGTACACTGGTAACACCAGCTTTGTGCTCCTTATCATGATCAGACAAACGAGAAAATCCGTAGACGTGATTATAATGGCCTCATAATTTCAACGAAAAAAAGTTCAGTCAACATAAGACTAAAAATAAATTGATTTTTATATAAAAACAAGAGGCCCATGGGCCACATCGCTCACCTGAGCACTGTGGCTAGGAAAAAGTAGAAATTGGTTTATCATTGAAAAGTTTAAATCCAAAAGTAGTACCATGACCAATCATGGATTTGCTATTCTTGAGAAGATGATTTTTAAAAATTTTTCTATATACAGCTTACTCCACTTATATTGAGCTCGCTTATTTTGAAATTCCGCTTATTTTTGAAATTAAAATAAATCCCCCGTTTTTGCCTCTTATATTCTTTGCATTAAAATATCGGTTATATTGATATCGTCTATATTGAAATTTCACTTATATTGAAGCCACTGATCGGTCCCCACAGGTGATAATGAGTTGTTTTCATAATGGTTATATTGAAGTACTCCCTGGCGGCTGTCGTTACAGTTGACGACAGAAATTATGCCTGACTGACCAGTTTATATAAAAGGTGTGAATAAAAAAAAACTTAACTTTGAAATTAAATACATTAATGGCTATTGATAAGTCTAAATTCGAAAAAGCTGAGGGATTAACCCGAATACACTTATGATGAAATACATGCAGCATTCCATAGTTATCAACTATTTAAGTCCGGAGATTTTTCTCCAAAACGAAAAAACGATCGTAGAATAATAATGAGGTTGAAAATTGTCTTTTGAACGTAACAAAAAGAAATAATTTTATTTAAACTTTCAAGGACTTATATTCTGTGTAATATGTTAACTGTTAAAGATAAACTATGACAAAATTAATTTGTTCGGGTTTGTTCTTTATTTTAGATCGGGATTGAACTTGTAAAATGGCGGCGTCACAATTTCTCTTATATTGAATTACGGATATATTGAAATAATTTGCATGGTCCCCTGATTTTCAATATACCTGAGGATGCGTTCATATAAATATGATGAATTATGGCTTTGTCATTCTTGAGAAGAAGATTTTTAAAGAATTTTCCAATATATTTCTATGTAAAACTTTGGTTGGCCATTTTGCCCCCCCCTACCCCCGGGGGTCATGATTTGAATAAACTTGAATCTACACTACCTGATGATGCTTCCATATAGATATGATTAATTATGGCTTTGTCATTCTTGAGAAGAAGATTTTTAAAGAATTTTCCTATATATTTCTATGTAAAACTTTGATCAGCCATTTTGGCCCCGCCCTACCCCCGGGGGTCATGATTTGAACAAAATTAATTTGAATCTACACTACCCCAGGATGCTTCCACATAAGTTTCAGCTTTCCGGGCACAGTGGTTCTTGAGAAGAAGATTTTTAAAACATGCCACCAAATTTTTATTAATTCCCAATTATCTCCCCTTGAATGAGGGCGTGGCCCTTTATTTGAACAAATTTGAATTCCTTTTCACCCAAGGATGCTTTGTGGCAAGTTTGGTTGGAATGGCCCAGTGGTTCTTGAGAAGAAGTCGAAAATGTGAAAAGTTTACAGACAGACGGACAGACGGACAGATAGACAGACGGACGCCGGACAAAATGTGACCAGAAAAGCTCACTTGAGCCTTCGGCTAGTTCACACGTAGAGCATATCCATGTATATCCAATCAACTGGAATATTATGCAAAGAAAGCTTTTGTTCATATATTTTTTAGATGTTTATAGCGGAGCTCACTGTTCATTTGGTTAACTTGAGCAAATAATCAAATATATTTTTAATGCAACATACACACAAAACATACACACAAAATAAGATAATTTAAAACAAAAAAAACTTACAATTCAAAATGGCAACAAGGTAAGCTTCCTTGATCGTCTTTTGCTACAAGAATTATATACATTCTGAAAATTTATACTTGAGAGACCGGGTAGTGCAAGTAACAGCTGAATAATAGGACTCGTCTTGCGAAACAAGTTGTATTTTCATGCTTATAAAATGTGTGTAAATCATTTTTGAAGAGTCCTTGTTTTTATATATGATATAGTTGCCACAGCTTACTTAAACAAAGAAAAGCAATTTTATGAAAGCATAATTTATTTACTAGCAATTGCTGACGTAACATGAGGAAACAGATCGCAGCTGGTCGTACTTAAACATCATCATCTGCCTTATCTTGGTAACAAGAACAGCATTATTTCAATTTTATAGTAAACAAAAAGTATTGCTGACTATTTCAGAGTAAGAGTACGTGTTTCTCTGTGAAAACATTTTGAAGATAAATGCGATGATAATTCCTATCTGTTAATATGGTAGTCCTTTCCAGTAAGTGACAGTGCCATGTACATATAATTGCAAATAAGCACAAAAAGGTCACTGAAGTCAGAGGGTTCTACCTGAATTTTATTTCTTGAAGGTTCATCATTTACATAAAAAATATTCTTAAATTTGGGGGAAGTATCAGATTCTCAAATATTATATTAACACCTTTACTAAATCATCGATCATTTATTTTCAAATCGAAAATTGATCGAAAAGTACATACAGGATTATTTTTTGATTTATTGTTTCAGCTGTGAGAGTGGATATCGTTACAACGGGAAACACAATAGTGAGCTAAAATGTTATAAACTGCAAGTATAACATTTTGTATTATTATGTCTTGCAACAGGAAGGAAACAGAATAAAGCAAAATATTTTGAGAAACCTTTTGTTAAATATGGACAGTTGTAATTTGTTTTAATATTCTGAGTTTAGATCAACGTATAATGAATTAAAGCAAAATGTTTGTTTCTTTGTTTGTTTGTTGTTTAACGTCCTTCTCGAGAATTTTTCGCTCATATAGAGACACCACCACTTCCCAGTGGAGCGCTGCAAATCTTGTCCTACACTCAGCACGCATTGAAAGAGTGATCCCTTGTTGAACAGTTACACCCTTCCAGGGCCCAAACCTAAATGGTTTAGTAAAATTTATGAAAGACATACATTTGTCATGAGATAGCATCTATAAGCAGTCATTTTGCAATCAAACAGCTGTCCGCATACTTTGGAATTATTTATTAATTCCTATTTTCCATGTTTTTCATAATCGGCCATGTCTGTTAAAACTCGCTTGTACATGTTGTAGTACAAGCTTAAGATAAAACATTTGGACATAAAGTTTGTTGCAGTTGTTTAAGCTGCCTCTCAGATTTCAGCATTCCCTATTTCTCTATTTATGTCCCGAATTCGCAAACTAAATATATATAAAATATTGGTAACATCTTGTATTGATAAAGAAAGAAAGACGGAAATGACATTAAAATTTTATTTATTGTCAGCAATTTAAACATTTACGTACATTTTTAAGGAAAAAAAAATTCTGACTTCATTAATGTCCTTTCTCCATAAATATTTGTGTATATATTGGTCGACGTCATCTAGAAGGTACCTAATTTGTATCCTGAGAAAAACGTGTATAAGTTAGCATACATGTATCCAGCCGCCACATAAAATGTTCGTATCCAGACTTTGTTTCCTTTCTTCAGTTCATAAACCAAATGTCCTGTGATGCTAACGTGGCTACTTTGCTGATCATTCACACAGGACGATGCTTTCCGTACACCATCTACCACTGCCTCTAAGTATACTGTTGATTTCTTGGATGAAAGATATGTCCACTCAAAGGAGTAGATGCCGTCTTCTGGAGCTGTAAAAAGGCCTGTTTTAGGATCATACCCATTTCCTTTGTTCAGCAAAACTTCATCGAATTTCATAATTGTGTTTACAGGAACATTACTGAGGTGAGATTTAATGGCGGCATGGAAGGCAATTACATTACCAACTGACGGACACCCTATTTAATTAAAAAAAAAATCAAACAAAAGTATCACAATGTAAATATTATTCAACACTCGTGTTCATGATTTTTTTCTAGATTCTGTGCTCACAAGCACTTTTATTTTATTTTGACATTAGATTGATTGATTCTATACTGTTTAACGTCCCTCTCCAGAATATTTCACTGATATGGAGACGTCACCATTGCCGGTGAAGGGCTGCAAATTTAGGCCTATGCTCGGCACTCAGGGCCTTTGAGCAGGGAGGGATCTTTTTCGTGCCACACCTGCTGTGACACGGGGCCTCGGTTTATACGGTCTCATCCGAAGGACCGCCCCATTTAGTCGCCTTTTACGACAAGCAAGGGGGTACTGAGGACCTATTCTAACCCGGGTCCCCACGGGGCATTTTGACATTAGAAAACATTGCCGAAATTTGTTTATTTCAGTCCATGCTGATTTTATATTTATTTGACCAAAGCATACGTTTCAGTACAGAAACAATAATTACGGGGAAAACTGCTTAAGAATACAAAAAATGAGTCAGTATTGTGCTTTGGGGATTACTTTTCTTCGGTTCCCAGCCAAAACGCTGGCAAACGCTCATGTAACCATTGAAATCTTTGATAAACTCTGACTGGGTTGATGTATCTGAGACAGAAAACGTCGTAAGGAGCACAACAAATACGGTTGTTAAGGCTGCTATCCGCACAGTATCTCTATACCTTTACACAAGGAAGATTACTTATTTTAAAAATTTTCTTGTACTTCATTTTCATAAATTTTTTAGAAAAAGGCAAAATTTTTGGCTAATATACACATTTCGAATTTCAATTAATTTTTATCGTAAAGAAAATGAAAAAAAAATACATATATAAGAGGTATTGTAGGTATTGCTTATAACAAACACTTATACTTAGCTTAAAGATACATATTGAGTATCAAATCATATTTACGGGTATCAAAAATAAAAGTCCTTTCCTGTACCTGTACATCGTTTAAAATGTCTTCAATTGAGGAATATGCTGCACAAAGTATAGAATTATATCATTTAATGTGACAAAATTGTACAATTTAACCTGTATGTTAACTCAAGGATGTGTGCAATGTGCATTTAAGTATATAGATAAATGATCTTACATTTTCTGATGTATACAGTAAGAACACGCAAATAGCTCGTTAAAATCAAAGGACTGTACATTCAATATCTCAATTACATTTGATGAAGTAATTTGAGATATTGAATGTACAGTCCTTTTTTAGGTTTAATTTTCATATAATATTTATTATACTATACAAAACGTATCGTCGATGACGGAGATGGATGGAGATAACAGAAAATGTAAAAAATAAAATAAATCTGCATGATGTAAGCATTATAGAGTGCTTTAGTTGTATGTTAACGAATCAAATATAATTATATAAACATTAATACTGTGTCCCGTTCTAAAGCCCTATAAATTAACATTATCCAGAAAAGCTTTTGTTTTCAGCATAACGATTAGTATTTTCTATCAATATAATTATATCTAATATATTAGGATCTCCCATGATTTGTAGCTGGATATGACTTTTATCTAACGAGCTAGATATAAGTCATATCTAACTACAAATCATGGGAGAGTCATTTTATTCCATATTTTAATACTTCACATCTCACACTGACAATGTTTACACTCTGTTTTTATGGAGGGCTCCACTTTTTTTTTTTACTTCGTCACGCTAACTTTGCAAAAACCAGTGTGACGTCAAATCTGCATTTAAATGTAGGATATGAAAAAATATCACAAGATTTAAATCCACGGGATAAAGGGTTAAATGGACTTTTACGAATAGCACTGACACTTTTATAGCTGACAGCTTACTTTGACACCAGGACGGAAGCTCTTTTACGATATGAATATTTAGCTCAACATTTAATTTTAACAAAATAACATTTATTTCAAAGTGTAAATCGGTTGTGCTTAAATAAAACGACAACCACCCTACCCTCAACTTCACATTTTAGTGCCCGTAACAATATAAGGGGACTACCTATGACCACTTGAAAGGTGCTCTTATTTGTCATTACTTCCGTACCTCCATACATGATACAGGTTTTAAATGTCAAGAAAACTGTCAACTGTGAAAGTCAGTGCGTCTCGTAAAAATCCAATATTGGATAAATACAATGTATACTTGTCGATGCAAACTAAATAGTATTTAAAATGCAATTGAAAGAGAAATGGAATAAGACGAAAACAACGAAATAAAACTTTTAAGACTCTCCTTTCAACTTTGTAGGAGATAAATACAAACGAAAAAGAAGAATTGCATTTTTTATTACTTTGTGTTCCGTATCCCTGGATCATAACTGTACTTCTGACTAAAAATTGTAGCAAAAATTAAATTAGTGTGGGAAAATAAGACCTGAGAATTTGATTTGAAGAAATTGTGTAAATTCCTTTAGCTTTGAAACATCTGAGGTGATTGACGGTCCAACACAGTGTCTTATTCCAAAAGAAATTGGACATTTTAACGTACACCGGGTAATAACTACATATTACAAACTGGCTAGCATGTATGGAACATTCATATAAGAAATAAGGTATCATTTTTTGAGTTTAATTGGGATGTAAAACGGGTTGGTCACGTGATCAAATCCCATAAAGCCCTTCTACCTTATTACTCATATTTACATTAGTGACTTTTTCATGCTTTAAATTTTCCTGATTGTGACTTTTAACGTGTGAAATGCATTATTTTCCAAAGCCAACGGCATGTATGTTATCCAAGGAAAGCGCGTCGACCCTTTATGACGTCTCTGAGAAATTACGTCGAACGTTTATCCATACGCACATCTTTGACCTTTTGACCCCGTACCTGTATCATACAGTTATAAAAACGCTTGCTTTCAGTAGTGTTATATAAAGGAAAACATTTGCAAATGTAAATATATGTGGATAAATGTTAATGTTTAGGAATGTTTTATCTTTTAAAGTTCATATAGGAATGAAATGATATTTCTCATCTAGCAATATTTCTGGACATTTTTTGTTTCGGGAAAACCTTAGACATCGCAGTTACCTTTGAAAACTTGATGAGCAAAGAGAAAGATGTTCAATTTATGTTATGAAGAAAGTTTAATTAATAATTTGAAATGCGAAGAAATTAAATGTTTTCCTTTTTTTTATTCTTAATTTTTTCCAAAATTCTATCACAGTTGTATTTTGGAAGAAGTACCAAAGCAATTTATGAAAAATCAGGTATATACCAGCATCACGTTTTGGGAAAAAATTAGATTGACATCAAGAAATGGTTATTCACTAATATAACAGAAATATAATTGGAGCATTACTAATTATAAAATTGTAGTATTGCGTATACGAGGGTTGTCTGTAAAGTTCGAGGACAAGCTAAAATTAAAATAGAAATTGTGTCATAGATATTTATTATTAGGATATCTGTAATCTTTTACTAAACATGAATTTCAAACTGTAAAAATATTTTCGATTTCAAAAGTATAATTAAAATTACGGCTTCACGGGAAAATCTTAATTGAAAAGTTATTCATCACTTTATAAACTTCGTTTGTATTTTGTAAAATTCCGCGGAAATTCAGATTATTTTTACTTTATGAGGTTGACAAAAGTTATAAAATCATACCTGCTAATTTTGAACGATCAAAGTTTCTAAATGACTGAGAAATTAAAATTAGAATCTATAAAGACAGGATCGGCATTGTTCAAAAAAGGGTCGTTTTTGGAAAAAGTGGAGCACAAAGCAGTGATAAAATTCTGCGTCGACATCGAAAAAAACTCCAACAGAGGCCCATATATTCTGCAAACAGTCGGGAAAACATTATAAAAGAGTCGCTCTTTACCATATAAGTGGCATATAAGATTTTGGGTCAGAAGGAACAGTTTACAAAATGACAAGGCTATTTTTAGCGTTAAGTATCGAAGGGTGTCTTCTAGCTATTCCCACTTTTTAAAAATCTCAATTCCACTTATTCCCACTTGCAAATAACAATAGATGTTTAGATTTACCTGTATTTTGTACCTTTAAAGACAGAAAATAATGAATACATCTATGAGAAAATATGATTTATTTCAGATTTTTGAAATAATAAAAAGATCTTACAAGAAATAGCAACTTAATACCTTAATTTAAGAACATAGTTAATTATTTGTTTACACAAAATTCCACCTACTCCCACGTGAAATTTTACCTTTTTTTACCTGATTTTCAGAAAGTGGGAATAGCTTGCATAAACCTATCGAAGATCACTATTCCGAGATTAAATTGCTGTAAAGAAAAAAATTCGTACCGTGACTTTGACTTTTATTCGTAAATAAAGTCGTTTTTACGCACACAGATCTTTTATGAATTGCTGAATCTTACAGTGAAGTGTTAAATATTATCTTACGTACCATGTATGTAACCTGAACAGTTTGTGCACATTTTTTGAAAACTGTTAAAGTGGCACAAGAATTTGTTGAGTTAAACGATGTCTATCTTGAGAATTTTAAGTTACATGTATTTATCTTTTGAGTTCGGGTAACGTCAAGGATTTTGCATTTTAGTGCGTGTTTTTTTTATCTGATAGATATATTAGTATTTGTGCGTTGTTTTTGTTAAAAACTTGTATATAAATAAAATGAAACAAGAATTTAATGAAAAAATGGTTTCATATATTTTATCCAAATTGGTGAATAATTATTAATGTTGTTCACGAACTTTAAGAATAGTTTATCCCGCGTGTGTAGTGCAAACAATGGATTTTTTTATACTGGGCAAATTAAGTTAGGGATCATTAGGGATCATATTTTACACAAGCATAATATTTTCATACCCAGGAATTTATGTGACAACAAGGCTTACACTGTAAAGACCCAATTTTTTTACCGTACGGTTACCTGAGGAGGGGGAGTGGTCTTGGTAGGTACTTGTATTATTTACCTGGAGACCCCTAATACCCAAGATGTCAAAAATCCCTGAACACGTAGCAGTACACAGGAAGTCTGTGTTTGGTAATCAAGGTCAACATTACGTGTTTCGTGTTTAATTTTGAGTGAAACAACTAACTTAATTTAAGGACGTTCGATCCTGAGATTTTGAGCGTATTTTGGTCAGGTCCTTTATTTATAAAATTCTGCATCATTTTTAAGTTCTTACATTAAATCTTAATTCTACGGTGCAAATTGAACTATATCCAATGAAAAAACCGCGATTAAATTCCATTCAAGTAGAATTGAGCTAGGAACTATACATGTATTTTGTGGCGGAAGGTTTTTTTTAGACGAAAATGATCAGTTTTTCCATTTTGAACTATAACAGTACTGTTAATTTTGGATTCCTATTTTTCCATCCTGGTTGTACACAATGCTGTTGTTTGCAGTGAAATGCGTAATGCTGGTTCTGAAATATCTTTTAAATTATTTCTTATGAATTCTATCAACAAATTGTGAGAAAGATAGTCAATATATTCTGAAAATTCGGGGGAAAATTGAGCCAATTTTAACGTAAAATTGACACTTTTGTAGTAATATCTGAAAATTTACAACATATACCCCACTTTTGATGTTATTTTCTAAATATTTAGGTTAACCTTGACCTATTTGCTTAAAATTAGAAAAAGTTTAAGACTTTAAAATAATTTTCTTGCTTATTAAATTTTCAATGCCAGAAAAATCACTTTTATTAGTGCAGAAAACTTC